TATATATATATATATGGAATAATAATATATATATGGAGATAATATATTTATTCCAATATATTCCTCTATATTCTCGACCAATTAAGCTTTTGTAAACTGGTTTTTTTGCGCTGCTGTTCCACTAAACATTTTCCTTGCATTTGATCATGCATATGCAAAACAAAAGTTGCTAATGAAGTGCAGATATTCATGACTGTGTGTATATTTTCACTTTATACATGTATAATATGAATGATAATTAAAGTAAAAGTCGAGAATAAAGAGATTGCTTTACATATTTAATTCTATTGAATTTACGTTTATCATCCAATTTACCTGGCATGTAATATCCTTATTAGAGAGACGTACAATTAACCTATACTTGGGTGTATTGTACTTGTTTTTGTCTTGAATAGTTAATCTCTTGCGAGCATAGTAATCAGTTTTTCCCTCACGACGCCTCTTGAACTTAACTTGATAACGCTTGAAGTACTGCTTATTCTTGACTACTTTGACAAAACCCTATACAAGCACAAAGATATTAGAATAAGATCAGATAAGTAAAAAGTTTTAAATTATTTAATTATTAATTTATTTTAATATTCCAAATAAGTCAACAGAGAGCAAAGCTTTTTAATCATAAAGTAAAAATTATCCATTATTTATTACTTTTTATATAAGCATATAATTGTATGATGTATATAATTAAACACCTATATAATTGATTTTTGACAAACGGTTGATCTCTCAATATTATTTCATAAGTGTATTATCTGATATTTTTGCTAATCAGACTATATATAGGGAACAATTGTGTTTTCTTCAGTGAAACATCAAAGCGAGCTAGGTGTGTCATCATGTTTTAGCAATATATATCAGATACATACACTCCCCTCAGGGACTTACAATAAGTGACCACGAGCTTAGCAAACCCGAGGTACTCGAGCTACTATATGAGGGGATATTATTTCCTCTAAATACTACTTTCACTGCTAACAAGCATACATCAACTAGCACATGGGCAAAATATGGAGCCCAATCAGCCAAAGAAAAAGTATAAATTAAGTTTAACATAGTTTAAGCTCATATTCATAATTAATTAATTAAGGTAATAAAGATATCTATTCAGAATCTTCTGTCACAAAGCAAGATATATTATTTCAGATAGTGCTAAAACTATATGAAGAGAATGTGTGAATTTCTTCAGAGTATTTTTCACCATGCGGTGACTAATGAATCTCTCCGAAAAATAGACATCTTGCTTTCTCGTCGATTTCCCATGAATAATTCGCGTATATTGAAGTTTAATTAATCAAATAAATTGTATATTAAGAGAAAGAATTCGCTCACCATTATGCCAAGACGACTTGAAAATTGCACGAAACACAGGCACCTCCGAAAGACCGTGCGAAATAGAGGAAGAGGAAGTTGGAAACAGTTGGAAGAGGCTCGACTTGGAAAGATCGGGAAAGATGGCGGTAGAAATTTAGACAAGAGCGATATTAGCGGCAAGCGGATGAACCATTGATGATTAACGATTTTAGCGGCGTAATTTAAAAAGCTTCTTGCAAAAAATTTATAAAAAATTTATAAAAAATTTAAAATTTGGATTTATTAAATTTAAATACATAAAATTTAAATTTTTAAATTTATTTATTAATATACTAATAATTAGAGTGTAAGAAAGGTGTAATTAATGAAAAATTGTACATTTGTTATAACTTGGAATAGAGCTAAATAACACAGCTGTGAGCAAATAGGATCGGACAAGAGAAAATACAAGCAAAAAAATCGTAGATCATAAACGATTGCTTAGTTAATTTCGGCTTACAGATATATTTTTAGAATTACAATTTTCGTTTATTATTTGTACAATTTTGTTTATAATAATAATAATAATAAAATTACTATTTTATTATTTGTTACAGTTGTAGAATCATATAGTAGTGTATAGTATTGTATTTTTGTCAACTCAACTTTAATTCAAAGTTTACATAGTAAACACATATCCATAAAATATGATGTCAACAAAACATTTTATAAAATTGTTCGATATATTTACACTCTTAAAAAAGAACATATTTTATATCATATTTATATTTTTCTTGTGAACTCGTATATAGAATGCATCACTGACATGTCATCTCGTTCTGATAACCACTGTTTAAGAAGACATTCAATCCTCTTGGCATCGATCTATAACAATGATAATAATACTAATGTAAACTAATATTTTACATATATGTTATATATAATATATCTTCTACAAAAAAGATATGTATTAAATATAGAATACCTTATCTGCATCAATATCAGCAACTTTCAAACCTTTGATCAAGCCAATAATATCTATGATCCATATCTGTTCACAAATTGTAGCAATCCATAAGTTAGGCGCCAAGCAACCTATTATATATTCACTTTCAAAACTTGATCTGTAAAATAGTTATTGAGATGGGTATTAAAATGCATCAACAAAGAAAAAATATAAGTAATATAAAAATATAAATAATTTGTCATTATCAATTAAAATTCAACCTTGTAATTATCTTATCTCTATCAATAGCCCAAGGTACTATCGTCCTCATATTTAATTTCTCTTTCTTTTCGTTTCTTGTATTCTTCATTTTTTCAAACAGCTGTAAGAGCCTACTTTTATTTCCCTCTGTGCCAATTTTATTCACTTCACCTCTTTCTTCAGCTTTTTTAGCCTGCTGTTCTTTTTCTTCTTTATGTGCAACATCTCGGTAATAACCACGCTCATGGGATGATAGTTGTTTCCAGAATTCGGTAATTTTTTTTGCAGTTTGAGCTGTAGTTAATGTAGGATTTTCTTTTGCAACTAAATACAAGGTAATTATTGACATCATAATTTTCAATCCTTTATGTATGCATTTTACTCTGTTATATAATTTTATATAACAATAAAACTGTGTAAATAATATAAATATACAAAAGAATAATTTTAATGATATGTATATATATTATACGTACTTTGCGATCTAACGTATTTTATAAATTTAAGATCTTTATTATCAACATATGTTTTATCTAATTCCATTTTATCCGATTCCATTTTACCTAATTTACATTTTTTTATCTTATTAATCTGGCTGTCTAAATTATCGTTGGATTGTCTCCCAATAGCAATATCAGATTGTATATCTGTACCTCCCTATTATATTTGATGCAATAGTATCAAATGTAAGATAATTCTGACAAAACTATAAATATGTACATATGTGTATGTATATAAATTAAAGAAAATTAGTAAATATTTTAAAGCTGCAAAAAGATTTTACCTTGAGACCAACGATATGACCTTTACTCCATGCCTCTAATGAAACTTGTTTGTTCTCTTCATTCTCCTTTAACTTATTTTGATTTTCATTTGTAAATGTATTACAACTTCCAGTCTCTTTTAAAAAGTCAAAATCTTCACCAAGATCTATGACAGGTAACTGACTCAAAGTTTCACATTCTTCTGCCCTGTAAAATTTACATTGCTAATATTTATATAGTTACTCAAAGTTCTTGGACGCTATTAAAATACTAACAAACTACTAATATAATCGATACACTAATATTAAAGACCAAAAATTTATTGTAATTTATATATATATAATGTATAAATTTATTATATTTATTATATTAAATAAATTATATTATTATTATTTATTATAGATATATATGCTAACATTTTATCAGGCAAAGTTACAGCAGGAAAGGCATCATTTGAATCAGAGTCGCTTAAATTCGGCGATTGTATATGAGCTAATGCATCTCTGTATTGTTGTTGATCTTGAATTGGATCGATATTTTGTTGCTTATGTAAAGATTTTTCATATCCGTTATTGTGTGGCATTGACTTTCCTTTGACAATATCTTCTTGAATAACTTTCTCTTGAGTATCTATTTTTCGTTTTTTACACATAGGCCATTCAGTATCGATATCTTCATTTGAATTAAGTGTATAATCTTCATAACAGGTGGATGTGTCATTAGATACGTTTTGTTCAACAAGCTCCACAGATTTAAGTCCATAATATTTTTTTATATACTTATCTACAGTATCAAAGACTTTATTCTACAAATATCAATTATATTGATGTATAAATGTATATGATATTTTATAAGCATCTCTATAAAGTTAAAATTTTGAAAATAATATTTATTTGAAAATATTTTATAAACTTTAGGGGTTTATATATTGCCTTACAATAATGTTTCATGAAGATATAAACATCCTTCCCTTAATATTAACTGTAATATTGCTTATCTATAATCTTACCTGATCTTTAAAAAGAATTGTATCTTTATTTGGTTCCAGATTAACATCAATATCCATTGGTTCCAAAATAATGTACACAAGAAATATCATTTTTTTTCTATGTGATTCTTGTTTAAAATATTCTAATATTGTATTGTTTACTAGCTATATACATTAAAAAATATAAATTTTTATTTAGGATTGATTAAAAAATGAACATTATATTTTGTATAATACATATATATGTATATATACTATACATATATCTATATAATTTTTTAAATTATAAAGAAAATAAATATGTATACACAGACACACAATGCATGTACATACAAATATATTTTTGTTGTGCAAAGGAGAAATCTAATTTTTTTATTTGATTTAAATATCTGATCTTGAATATCATGTAATAATGTTAATACAGAACAATAGAACATACCTTTTCAAGACTTTTATACTTAATAGGTCTATTATTTACAAAAATATAGTGTAAATCAGGATGGGAAACTTCCGATATATCTTGTACCTTTTTTGAAGGTAACATTAATTGCAGAACAAACTGAAAAATTACAAAGGTGTAAATTGTGTCAATATTGTAGAGATAGATGAAAAACAAATGTATATCAACAGCTTTTTTAAATTATTCCAAGAGTATACTTACTTCTGTATCCTTGGGCTCAACCCATTCCATATTGGACATAATTTTTCTACCGAGTATAAGATTTGCAGCTTCTTTAATATTATTAAGACTTGGTTTTGTAAATACAAGATTGTTGTTAACCCTAAATTGAATTCGTACATTTGGTTTACATATCCCAAAGCAATGTATTAGTATTTCCAATAATTTAATAACTTGATTAGCTTTCTTTGTATTGGTGATTATTTGTCTCCTTACAGGCATCTCTTTAAATAAATTTTTCACTTGTACAGTAGTTCCTAAAATACATATATATATATAATATATCAAAATATGATTATAAGATCAATATATATTATCATATATATACAAAAATAATTTTAAAATTTTAAAAAGACTTTTACCGGTACTTCTGTGACAAGATTCGTGTTTTACAATTTGTCCAGTATGATTCATTATATATGAGGTCCCAACAACATCTTCTTCTGTTTTCGTTACAACGATAACTTCTGCTACTGCGCATAATGCATTCAGTGCTTCTCCTCTAAATCCAAATGTTTGTAATGTATCTGGGGATAATAATAAAGACATAAAAATTTATTTCATTTCTATTACTATTTCACATTCTCTTTTTTTATAATTTAAAAAATAAATATGAGAAAATATTTAAATAA